GACGTTAACTTTTTAGATGTAAGAATTTAGAAAGGATCATGGTTGGAGTATTTTCCCCAAAACAATACTGAGTAATTATTTTGTGGTCTAGAACAGGGTCTTGATAAATTGGCAATAAATCTAAAGAGAAACAATGATTAAGAGATGGCTTTAAAGTTATGACTCTTGACCTGTTATCACTAATCACACAAATAATCAGTGCCATGAATGCCCATAAATTTCAAATTGCAAATATAAATTAGTTTCCCCCCTGAATTTATTGCTTTGACCTCTTGTAGTGTTGGGTGTCTCCAAATAGAGAACAGAAATAATACTAGTTTGAGGACACAGTTGATAATGGAATTTAGGAAATGAAATAACATATATTTCAGGCATGTGCTGGGTGCTTTTCCATAGGCTAGTTCATCAGGTTCATTGATGCCACCATATAGAGCTTATGATCACTTTTCAAAGTTATATTTAATAAAGTACCCTTGATATTAAAACTAAAAACATGTGATTTTTACTTTTCTGGCCTCATACTTTATTTTGCCTTTTGGAAAATTATTAATGAATTTACAGTTGCATTAATTAAGAGATTTTTTAATGCTAATATGTTCAACAGTCTTTTTTTTTTTTTTTCTTTAGTAGCTGAGAGAATTTCCGGTGCTCTCAGAAAGAGCTTCCTAAAATGCAAATCTCCTCTAGCCATTTTGACAGTTTTTCATTGCCTAAAGTGTAAATCTGTTGTGATGGCTTACAATTTCTCCCATAATCTGATTCCTACTTCCCTGTCCAATCTTATCTTTCTCCCTGAAAGCTTCTCCTCCCCATACCTCACCATCCACCTCAGCCAAATCTGAGTTCTTTGCAGTTCTGAGAACAAGCCATGAGGGTTTATGCCTTTATGTATGCCTACACTGATCTCTTCCTGGAGGCTTTTCTTGACTGCAAGGACAAAATTGAAAACATATAGTTTGGTGGGAAAAAATTTGGTTTAAGATAACTTTTTGGTGGAAATACATTTGAAAATGGTACTTTCTGTCATGAGGTTTCTTTTTTTTGTTGTTTTTTTGTTTTTTTTTGTATCAGCACTCTTGGTACCCTGCAAAGCAATTTTGCAATCTTTTGGTTCATCAAGCATTTTTTATTGTTATTTTTCAAAAAATGCAGCTTTTATTCTGCATAAAAAATTAAAATTTTTTGGAATGAAATATAAAAATATAAAATACAACTTGGCTTTTTGTAATGCAAAGTTTAGGAAAAAAATGCTCAACCAGGTAACCTCTTCTTTTTTAAAAAAATCAGGGTCTTGGGACAGGCTATTTATTCTGCTAGAAACACTACCACCCCACCTCCAGCTCTGTCTTCTCACTACCTTCAGTTGTCCTTCTACTTCGGGGTAGACGTCAGTACTTTTCAGAGGCTTCCGTTGACAGCTTCCACTTAAATTTGGCTTTGTGTACGTATATTTTTGTAAATGGTATATTTTCTTACATCATTCATCAGGATTTACAACGATTTGAGAGGTGTTTATAGTATTTAAGGGTATAAGGTCTGGAGCCAGAATGCCTGGGTTTAAATCCCAGTTTTGCTACTTCTAGGCTATGTGACCACAGGCTGCTAATGAACTTCTCTGTTTTTCAATTTCTTCTTGAGTAAAATGGGGCTAGAAACAACCTCATGGTCTTATAAAGATTGAATGAGAGAATATATTTAAGTACTTTGCACAGTGCACTGGCACATAATGAACAACCACATTTTTATTTATTCTGTGTGTTTAGTTATTGAATGTACATCTTTCTCATTAGACTATAAGCTCCATGTGTGTAGAGACCATGCCTGTGAACCACAGCACCCAGAGATAACAGGCATGCTGAAACATTTGTTGAATGAATATGATAATTTGAAAGAGCTTAACATTTTGACTACAAAAACATTTTTATTATTTTATTTTATTATTTTATTATTTTAATTATGCCTAGAATTAGTGCTTTTTATTGTCTGCTGCCATGTTTAAAGAAAACGTAGGAAAATAACTGTGGAAAAACTCAGGAATTTTGCATTTAATTAAAAATGGCAAAAATGTAAATAGCTAGCTTTCTGATGTAATTAGACAAGCAGCTATTAGTGTTAAATATTAATCTAAATTTTCTCTATACCTTTTTCATTTGAAGGTTTATGACACAAATATCTTATTCAGTTGTCCCTTTATTATATGTATCTCAAAATTATCCTATGGAACTTGTGGAATTTTGTTTTTGGCCAAGGGTACTTTGACAGGAATCTTAATTCATTGAAATGGTGGCTATAATATGGAATTGGTATTTCAAAGTCATATTGAATTTGTCACAAGCAGGCATATACATTTTAACAATGTAAGTTAATTGAGTTTATTCTAACATAGTCACAGTTGTGGCAATTGTGTCAAACAGATTTATTTCCATTAAAAATGCAATTAAAATTTTATGCATAATAAAGTAAAAGGTGTCTATTACTAAAGTGTAAAAAAAAAATTTAATTTGCACATAAAGGAAAAGTGGAAGTAGCATTTTACTGGGCCTTGTCTCATTTTCTGTTCAATCCAAATGGAAACAATGAAGTCCTGGATTATTAGGCAGAACCATATGCCAGTTCTTAGTGAATGCTCAACTTACATCCTCAATCTATTGTTCTTCTAAGTAGTTATTTTCACATTAAGCTTTATTTTTCTGTATGATATATATCATTTTAAAAATAAACCACATGGAATTTGAAGCAGTATCATTTTGACAATTTACATTACATCACAAACTGAATTTTATGCCAAATCTGATCCACATAAGCTGCAACTATGTTCAGCCAGTATTTGGTGTAGTTTAAATTTAATACCCAACTGGCTTAAATCTGACAGACTTAATTTTATTAATTCAAGAAAGTTTGCTCTGTTTTCCGTATGTGCCAGAAATGATCATGGTTCATTGAGAAGACTGAAGGGAACATTGCTGAATAAACCTTTATTAAGTATTAAAATGAAGGGCCACAGTGATAGGAACTGATACATTAAATGTTACAGATTTTTGTACTGATAAAACCATCTAGCAAAAACATTTTTATACTCTTTGCAAGTTATTATGGTTTAAACAGCAGGACATAATTATAAGAAAGTGTGCTGGGCTCATTTGTATTTAATGGAGTAGAAAAACTCCATGTATTGGTTTGAATTATCTGGATATCTCACATACGGCAATGCCCAAATTAATTACATAATGGCTGGGCTACCAAATTGGTTTTCATTTTATGGATCTTGCCTTCCCCTCAGATGGGAGTTGCATTAGTCAGCTCAGGCTACCATAGCACAATACCATAGACTGAGTGACTTGAACAACAAAAACGTATTTTCTCACTGTTCTGCAGCCTGGAAGTCCAAGATTAAGGTGCTGGCAGGGTTGGTTTCTTGGGAGGCTTTGCTGCTTGGCCTGAAGATGGCTGTCTTCTTCTTGTTTCTTCTCATGGCTCTCTCCTGGTGTTTGTATGTCCCTGCTATCTTTCTGTGTGTCCATATTTCCTCACCTTACAAGGACACCAGTTAGACTGGTTAGGGTCCATCCTAATGGGCTCATTTTAACTTAATTAACGCTTTAAAGTTTTTATCTCCAGGTAAAGTCACATTCTGAGATACTGGAGGTTAGCACTTCAAACAATAAATGAATATTGGGAGGCAAAATTTAGCCAATAACACCATGATATTCATTTCCCAATACTGATATTTTGAATCTAGTGGTGAAAGCCACAATATAACATAGATTTTCCAAATCTAATTGCAAGCATACCATTAGCATGTTAAACTATAGCAATTTTACCTTCAAACAGCTGCTTTTCCTGCATTGTGTGTTTGAAGTTAAAGATGCCAGAAATAGGGACTTCTTGTTTGTTTGTTTTGTCAAGAGTAAACAGAACTAAAGTTGCCAAGAGTAAATGGAACTAAGGCAAAACAGGCCAAGTATGTCCTTATAATCTTTAATAAACCCTTTATCCCCAGCTTGTCTGTAAGGGTTTAAGGGTCCAGGTTTGCCTATATCTGCAATACCTAGCACATTACTAGACACAGTAGGTAATTCATAAGTATGCATTTATAGAATGAACAAATTAATGATTTTTCTAATAATGTATAATTATAAGTCATAAAACAAGGATAGAATGTTTTTCAAAAGTGGCTAACTTATTGTAAATATGGTCTACTGAAGAAGGGTTTTTTTTTTTTTTTTTTTGAGACTCGCTCTGTCATCTAGGCTGGAGTGCAGTGGTGTAATCTCAGCTCACTGCAACCTCCACCTCCCAGGTTCAAGCGATTCTCTCCTGCCTCAGTTTTCCAAGTACCTGGGACTATAGGCATGTGCCACCATGCCTGGCTAATTTTTTGTATTTTTTTTTTTTTTTTTTTTTGGTGTTTCACCATGTTAGCCAGGATGATCTCGATCTCCTGACCTCACAATCCACCTACCTCGGCCTCCCAAAGTGCTGGGATTACAGGGGTGAGCCACGGCACCGGGCCAGAAGGTTTTTTATTTAAGCTTACATATATAATATTCACGTTTAAATGATATCAGCTGACAGAAAGTTTAAATCTACAGAAGTTAAAAAGTAATTAATTTTGGACAGATTTATTTCAATACTGGTAAATTATGCCTCTAAAATTCTTCTCACTGATGTCTTGAACAGCTATGTGACTTTTCTAAGTGGAAATCAGTGCTCCAGCTCATTGTAAAGACATAGATGTGACTGTGGATGGTATGTAGGCAATTGTATATGAAGATAAGGTTACCCTCTGCCGAGGAGTTATGCAATAGCAATGGGGTTAGTCAGGTGTAGGAGTACCACATCCCCAGAGAAGATAAAAATAAAAACCTCAGCCACTCAGCCACTTATGGACATGCAAGTTCAGTAAATGCATCTTTGGTATAGTCTTCAGGAAGAAATCTAGAATGTGAATGTAACTAAGAAAGCTAATTTTTAGTGTTTTTTTTTTTTTTTTTCTGTAGAAATTATGGAGCGGACAGAAAGGATCTAGGAAAGATGAAACTGAAAGAATGCTGACATGCGTCTTTAGCATTCTCCAGGAACAAGAGTTGATCCTTCTGGCAAGCACACAGTATGATGGAGGTGATGTATTAGGCTAGAATAATGTCTGTATTTGTTTGCTAGGCCTGTCTAACAAAATAACATTTTATTTTCTCATAGTGCTGGAGCCTACTAATTCAAGATTAGGTGTCTGCAGGCTTGGTTTCTCCTGAAGCCTCTCCTTGGCTTGCCGATGATTGCCCTCTCACTGTATCCTCACATTGTCTTTCCTCTCACACCTCTCTAGTGTCTCTCTGTGTGTCCAAATTTCCTCTTCTTATAAGAACACCAGTCAGATTGGATAAGCGCCCACTCTCATGCCCTCATTTTAACTTAATCACCTCTTTAAAAGCCCTATCTACAAAGATAAACACATTCTGAAGTACTGGGAGTTAGGACTTCAACCTATGAATTTTGAGGAGACACAATTTAGCTCATAAGAACCTCATTATTATATATAGACCTGCTTCATTTCATGCGTACAAATGACCTCGTCTTTATAAATTGACTTTCCACATTTTCTTATTGGTATAAACTAGGTTGTCCAAATTTCCTTGAAGTCACACTCTTGAATATCCATCTTCTCAAGTACTCTAGGATATTCCTCAGTCACTTCCAACTCAACATGTCCTCAATGTGAATCATTGATGACTCTCCCAAATTTGTATCATCTCTTGTCATTTCTATTTTTACTTGATGCCAGTCTCTATTTATTCACCCAAGCCTGGATCTTATCCTATTGATTCTTTTGTCATCACTTCCTTCCCTATCATAAATTTAGTTAACTCTACCTTCATAATCTCTTTCCCTATTCATTATCATTTCATTGCTTTTGTTAGGCATCTTATCTTAATTTTTCTTGATTGCTGCAATAACATCCCTTTGATGTCCAACCCATCCACTCCATCCTCTAGACACAGCTGTCAAAAAATCTTTCCCTAAAATGTAAGCCTGGACATTTAATTCTGTCCTTTAACTTCTTCAATGGCTCCAATTGCCGAAGTTCAGCCCTATTAAGGTGGTTCAGGGGACCTCTGTCTATTCCTATAAACCTCTGTCTATCTTGACCCTCAAACACATCAACTCCAGATAGAATATGTTCTCCCTAAATATGCCATTTCCTTTTTCTTTTCTTTTTTTCTTTTTCTTTTTCTTTTTTTTTTAGCTCTGGCTATGCTTATTCTTCCAATGATATTGACTTAGTAAACTTATCCATCTGACTTTGTTCTGATGTTACCATCCCAAGTACCATAGATGCTTCTTTTTCTGTTTCCCCTTGAGACTTCTGCCACCTCTATTCCACAATTTATGAGGCTGCTGTAATTATTTGCTTTTCTATCTGTCTCTCTCTCTTTCCCGAGAATCCCTCAAAGAAGAGACAGTTTCCTAGTAATCAGTTAGTCATCTTTCTAGTGAATGTAATGGGATTTGGACCATTGTCTCTGGAGTCTGACTGCCTGGGTTTCATTTTAGCCTAATGTTTCACCTTGCAATGTTTAAACTTAATGCAAGGTGAACAATACACACTAGTGTACTGAATTATTGTTTACTAAAAAGAGAATTAATAATTTTTCGGAAAAAGTAATAGATTATACTTTTTTCCTGAATGGTATAAACAAATAATCACCAAGAAGAAGCAAAATAAAAAACTCTTTAGCTGTCTTTCTTGAAAATTACAGAAAGCTATGAAGAGTATCTGAGGTTATAGAGGTTAAGTATTAGGATTATGGATATTCATACTTACCATCTTGTCATCTTAATTTTACATTGATTTTCTCTTAGCTCTCTTTGACAGAATCTTATTAACATACTGTCTAGGGCAAATAAGCAAACTGCCAGCCCCACTGTATGCTCAAACATGATTTAGAGGATAAGAGAACTTACATTTAGGGAAAAACCTAATAACACTATCATTTAAGTGCCCCCTATCTACTAGTATTTTATAATTTGCTCTTGGAATTATTCCCAAATATTATTATACATATCATGTATAAACATATCAATTAAGAAGATATATAATCTTTGCTATCAGTTTTTTGGCATCAGACATATCTTTATTTATTTTAAAGAAAATATTCATTGTATTACATCCATTCCTTTTTGTTTTTCTCGCCAAAAGAAAAATGCAGTTTTCAGTCTTTGGGTCTTCATTAGTTTCTTTATGTTAGAAATACCACCCTTTTTTTTTTTTTGAATAAGCAAAACATGAAACTAATGATTTAAACATAACAGAAATAGAACATAATGGGCATTTGATACATATTTGTTAAATGATAACACATATTATTTACCTTTGAAATATTGATGTCATAATCTATAAATCACACAACTAAGAATAGTTTTAGATTGTTTTTGATGAGGAGGAATTTCCAATCACCAAAGGAGATTAACTGAATCCTTATATCAGTAGTTGAATTTAGATCTAGGAATATTATTCATTTCGGTACTTTGGGTTCATATTACAGATCATAAATCAAATTTTCTCTAATCCTTTAAGTGTCAAACAATTCTGTGAAAATAAGCCAAATACATCCCTCTTTTACATAATGGGATGTGACTTCAGATAAATATTGAAGCACATAGATAGGAAAGACTGTTTCATTAAAGGAAATACAAAAGAGTTGAACATGTAATTTTTTAATAAATTTACTTATGCTCAGAAAGGAGAATACAGCCAAAGAGAAAGGCATAAAACTTTTTTGGTAAGTAATAACAAACATATTGCTCAAAAAATCCCCAAGGCATGCCCTTTTCCTATTGTAATAAAAATGCAGCATTAAAAATAGTACAACCAAAATAAGGAATCACTCATAAACAAAAATGTCGTTTTTTTTAAATAAAAACTGGAATGTCTCAGTTTATATATATTATTCTCAGGCAACCTTTTATGGATAGGAACATCAGTGAAGTAACGAGTGGATAATAAAATGATTGCATATCTAAATTAATTTTTATTTTTAAAATTAAAATTATACCTTTAGAATGAGTTGTTTGTGTTTGTAATTTTGGATTAGAATCTAGGGATAAACATTAAATACCTAAGCATGCCTTCACATAATCTGCATATTGATTTGCAAATACAAAACCTACAAATGCATTTTTGTATGGTTGGATTAACGTATTTTGGAAGGAAGATAGTAATTTAAGACTATCACCAAAATTCTATTACATGCTTTGCTGAAAAAAAATTGAGATGTTAAAAATACTTATGCTTTTGATTTTATCTCATTAAAATAATGCACCATAAAGAAAGATACAAACAAACCAAGAAAAGCTTTGGGACTTTTCCCCCTCCCAGTCTAAGAATAGAACGAAGACAGGCCAACGATGGAATATGCTATGCAATGAAGCATAACCCTTGCCAATATTTTCTAACCCAAGCTCTTTGATTAGGTAGATATGCATTTGGACTACAGAAATCAATGTACCTAAACAAAACAAAGTCAAGTTGCCAATGAATTTAAGGAAATGTTTGCTTTAAATGTAGAACTGGCTAAGAGATGTGAGTCAAAATTAGAGATAATGGGGAATGCCTATATGTAAGCATGCCCCTTAAATGTCTCTCATGGGGTATGATAAAGACAAATGGAATTAAATTGAAGGGAATTTACTGAAATATAAGCCAAACAACAATCCAAAATACCCCCAAATACCTGTGAAAGGGAGCATCAGAAAAGCAACTGTATGTTAAGTTTTATCCATATTCTAAATATTTAGAGCTTAAAATTTGGCACGATGGAAGTCTCTCTTCACTAATTCATCACTCTGTCACCAGCTACAGAGCTATTTTCTTCTTTCTATGTCCCCATAAGTGAGAAGCACTTTGGATATTTTAATTGTATTATTATTTTTTTAATTTTCTGTGGTTATATATTAGGTGTATATATTTATCGGGTACATGAGATATTTTGATACAGGCATACCATCAGTAATAATCACTTCAGGGTAAATGGGGTATTCATCCCCTCAGGCATTTATCCTTTGTATTACAAACAATCCAATTATACTCTTAGTTAGTTTTAAATGTACATTAAATTTATATCGACTATAGTCTCTCTGCTGTGCTATTGAATACTAGATCTTATTCATTACATCTATTTTTGTGTACTCAGTAACCATTCCCACATCCTCTTCCCCCACAACTACCCTTTGGACAATATATTTTAATTCTCAATTTATATTTCTGTTTCCCACTAAAGGGTGAGCTCCTTGAAGCAAGGGACAGTGTGTGAAAGACTTCACATCTCCCGCACCTTGAAGAGAATGCAGAACTTAAGAGTATGTGCACACAACAAAGTTCACTGAATGGTTTAAAGAAACCCAAATGCATTCTAGAGGATCTTGCTTTACATTGTACCATCTAGTGAGCAACATTTCTTTATGATGAAAAAGTACTTTTCCTGACAGTTGAATTTAGAAAATGAACTGGTTATTTCTATGATTTTTAAAAATTTACACTTCAGGAGTGACATTTCTTCTGTTAATTTCTGTTAAGTTTTCAGAGGCCTAGACTTTAAGTCCTCTGTGATAGGATTGAAGGGGACAGCCTAGGAACAATGAGCCTCTGGCTCCTTGCTCTCTGGTAGCTGGCCAGAAGTAGGAAGGGGAAGGAAGAGAGGAGTCCTATGGCCTCTGTTCTCCTCTCCACGCCTCACTGCAAAAGTAGAGAGGAAGGAAGGAAACTAGAAAGGTGTCAGAAAGGGGTGTCATGAAATCTATGAGCATCCAAATTTGATTTTTTCAGCTAGTCACAAATTTAACATAACAACCTAAAATTAAACTTGAAACACAGAAAAAACAAATACTGTTTGAGAAATATACTGGTAAATGATTACCTTGTCTATTTAAAATCCTTTCTGACTGTAAACTCTTTTTGAACAGAAATTTTGTGAGCCTTACGTGGCTTTTTATCCTGGGTCTTAGCATAGAAAAAGTATAGTCATTGAATGATTAAATAAATAACTTTAAAAAATACTTAGAACTAAGCAAGCAAACATATTACATAGGCAATTCCTAATATGCAAAGAAATGAAACTGCCTGCTGCCTGAAATTCTTTGAGGAATGATTAGAAGATTTTTTTAAAGATAGTAAATAAACATAGGTCGCAAGATGATTTTTGGAACTCAGAATTTTCCATAGGTACATGTTAACCACAGTGACTGGCCAAAACCTCAAATCCTAGTTTACCAATACTTTAATAAGCACATAATTTATTGATCATGTCTTTCTTTAAGACAACGCAAGTTAACTTCCAGTTGGAAAGCCCTGGCTATGACTTCAATTCTTCTTAAAGGGACATTTTGAGGAGTTCATTGATATAAATATAAACATACATGAAAAACTGTTCAGCAATTGAAACTACAATGTGATATCAAAACACACCTATCAGAATGGCTAAATTTTTTTTTTTTTTTAAATGTAATAGCATCAAATCCTGGTGAGAATGTGAAGAAAGTAGATCCTTATTCATTGTTTGTAAGAATATAAAATGGTACAGCCATTCTAGAAAAGAATATGGCAATTCCTTCTGTACTTACAATCAGTTTGTGTTAGCCACAGATTATGAGATGGAAGAACGAACATCATGTGGAACCACCACAAAACAATACATCATAAAATGACCTACTATACTAATGTAGCATAAAATGTGTGCTGCTAATTTGTATTTTAATTCCAGAGATCTTCAGCAATGTAGTCTAACAAAGCAAACTGTCAGGAAGAATAAATAATAGCAACCCTAAAAAAATAATGAAACCCGAACCTGCAGTAGATAGGGACTGTATAAAATTACACATCCACCTGAGAGAATGGAGTATGTGAAAGTTGTTGCTGGCATTTTCTCCAGGAGGCATCTGTGGGAAATCGTATTGAAGAGAGGCAGTTTTAGGAGCAGAGGAGGAATTCATTTACTAGAATTAGGTCCTAACAAGATGGAACTACTACCTCATATGGCTCATGTATAGCACTGTAGAAACATTTCATGAGTATTTTATGTTCCTTTGCTCACTGTAACATTTGTAAGGTGCTGACAAAATAATTTGGAGTTAGACCAATTGTCAAAAATATATTATAGTGTATGTATTTTATGGTGAGGCATAGTGCTGTGGCTGAATAAGAAGGAACCATGGTTAGGTTGCAGCAGGGAAGAATATCTAGAACAGAGCTCCTTATTTTACCCTTTGGATTTTACTATGTACTACTGAGCTTGACATACTTAAGCAGTATGATTCTGAGAATTCTGAAGAACTATGACTAAGCTGATCCCATCTGGAAAGGTCTTGATGTTATTTGGCCAGACATAACTCTTAAGAGGTGGTCTATATCCGGATACTACACAACTTCTTGGAGTTTAGAGAAAAACAACAGAGGCTGTTCCAATCATTTGGTCAGAGCAGCGAGAGATTTTTGCATAAAATGCTCAAACCTTGGAGAAGTTACTTAATATTTCTGTCTCAGTTTTCTCACTGGTAAAACAGAGATTAGAGTATCGGCTTCCATGGTTGCCATACAGCTTAAAATCAGGTGAACCTGTAATGGACTTCGAATAATAACTAATGCATGTTAAATGTTCTACAAAAGCTGTTATTGTTACTGTCATTAAGGCACAAACTTGTAGCATACAGGAGTGTGTATTAGTCCATTTCCACAGGGCTATAAGGAAACACCCGAGATTGGGTAATTTATAAAGGAAAGAGGTTTAATTGACTCACAGTTCCACATGCCTGGGGAGGCCTCAGGAAGCTTACAATTATGTAGGAAGACAAAGGGGGAAGCAAGGACCGTCTTCACATGGCACAGGAGGGAGAAGAGAAAGTGAAGGGGGAAGAGCCTCTCATAAAACCATCAGATCTTGTGAGAACTCATTCACCGTCACAAGAACAGCCCCCATGATAAAATCACCTCCCTTCGTTTGTACGTGGAGATTACAAGTCCCTCCTTCCACACATGGGGATTATAATTCGAGATGAGATTTGGGTGGGAACATAGAACCAAATTATAATCAGAGTGTAATGCCTTGCTACTCAAAGAATGTGTGGGCTGTGAATAAATAGCATTGACATCACCTGGAAGCTTGTTATCAGTGAGGCCATCCCCGGTCTATTGGAATCACAACCTGCATTTTTAACAAGATACCACAGTATCTTTACGCCCAGGAAAGTTGAGAAGTGCTGATTGGCATAGTCGACTCACACTGAGGTGTTTCTCCAGCTTGCTTGCTTGCTTGCTTATTTATTTATTTATTTATTTATTTATTTATTTATTTATTTATTTATTTATTTATTTATTTATTTATATACTTACTTACTTACTTACTTAGATCCAGTCTCTCTCTGTCTCCCAGGCTGGAGTGCAGTGGTGCAGTCCTGCCTCACTGCTACCTCTACCTCCCAGGCTCAAGTGATTCTCCCACGTCAGCCTCCCAAGTAGCTGGGACTACAGGCATGTACCACCACACTTGGCTAATTTTTGTATGTTTTGTAGAGACTGGGCTTTGCCATGTTGCCCAGGCTGGTCTCAAACTCCTAGGCTCAAGTAATCCTCCTGCCTCTGCCTCCCGAAGTGCAAGGATTAACAGGCGTGAGCCATGGCTCCTGGCCCTCTCCACCTTCTATATAATACTGTCTGACTTAATCCTCACAGCCTCCTGGAAGTTGGCTTAGCTCCCTGGCCATAGCTGAGTGGTCTAGATATGGACATCTCCCCAGTTTGTACAAAAAATTATTTCCCTCTCCACGATTCAAATTGAGTGAGACATAGAAACTGGAAAGTGGATACTGAATCACATCAGCAGCATGATTCTAGAGGGAAGGTCTACAAACTCCAGCAGTTGAAATAACAGGAGGGGCCTCAATTCCTGCTCTTGTCCTCTGCTGTCCTGAAGTGCCTGTTGGTTTGTCTTTCTGGACAGGCTGCAGTAGATGTGCCCTCATACACTGATTTTGTTCTTGTTCCCAAATCAACTCGGTGCCTCTGGTCCCTCAGAAAAATTTCTCCATCTGTCACCAAGGTTTTAGGGAAAGATCCCAAAAAGTTCCTGAGGGAGCAAAGCATGACTCACCTCACATTCGCCCTACCACAATGGGCCCACTTCGCGTTCTGAAAGAATCATTCGGAGTACATCGGGCAGAGAAGTGGCTGGCAGCCTCTGTCTTCTATCACCATAAAATCCCAACTTGCTGAAAATGAGTTATCTAGGTTTTTGATGATTTCACCTTACAGATCTCTTGTCTTCATTGGAAGAAAGTAAATAAAGACAACGAATAAGCCAAACAACTAGAGACTGAGCAAATAAAAAATTGCTGCATTTACCTGTCTGGATCTTTAGGCATAGATGTTGAAAAAATCGATTATTTTGCAACACATAGGGGATAACAGCTTTGCCCAGAATGTTTTGTTTTGCTCTAGCTGAAAAGGGGTAGACTATCAGACTGAATTCAAATAGAACTAAAACTGGAAAAGTTCCCTTATCCCCCTTGCAGCCCACGCTACCGGGGTGTGTCTCGCTTCTTTGGTGCGCTGCTGCTCAGAACCCCTAGCGGGAGCAGGCAGACGGGCAGGTCTTGGGGAGCGTGGGCTCCACCCCACAGCAGTGTCTAGGGGTGAATGCTTCCAGCGCCTCTGAAGCCCCAGTGGGCGCGTGTTACAGTGTGCACTTTTAGTTTTGCCATTTGTAGGCAGCTTGCGTTAATCAGCTCAGTTAGATCCTCTGCCTTATGGCAAGGACAGAGGGATTTCTGTATCCTAGGGTTCTTGCCTTGGTGTACGGGAAAAATCAGATCACCCGTGTGCTTGGAGAATGAGTGCAAGGTTTTATTGAGTGGAAGTAGCTCTCGGCAGATGGATGGGAAGCCAGAGGGAGATGGAATGGGAAGGTGGTTTCCCCCGGAGTCAGGCCACTAAGCGGCCAGACTCTCCTCCAAACGCGCCGGCCACATTCCCCTCGGCTTCTGCGTCATTCCGCTGGTTGATGGCCTGCCGGCGTCTGCTGCTGTGTTCTACCCGTGTGTTCCTCTCGAGGTCTAGCCCCTTGTGTCTTCTTCCACTAGGGTCTTGGGGTTTTTATAGGCACAGGATGGGGGTGTGGTGGGCCAGGGTGGTCTTGGAAAATGCAACATTTGGGCACCAAAACAGGAGTTCCTGTCCTCACCTAGGTCCATGGGCACAGGCCCAGGGTGCAGCCCTCGCCCAGGACCATGCCCTTCTCTACCCAGCACTTCCCTGCCCCCTTCCTGTATCAGAACCATATTCAAGTCAATACGGCTGACTAAATGAAGTT